TTTGAACAAGCGATTTTAGACTTGATTATTTGAACAAGCGATTTTAGAATTGAGTATCTCAACAAGTAATTTTAAAACTGGGTATCTGAATAGGCGATTTTAGAAAGTTGTATATGGAAGACTGCTCTATAGTGATCAATTTTTATGAATGAGCGCCACTGCGCTATTGAATTCAGACTTATCTCCAGAAAATGGCTATGTCTGCACAGGATTTTAGGACTGAGTATCTGGACAAGCACGAATGATATGTCATTTAGAACCGGCCTTCTCAGGAAGCGATTTTAGGATTTATCATGGTGTGAGAGTTTGCGATTGATCTGAGCTAGCGATTTTTGACAAAAAATTCACTTGGAAAGGTAATGCATAATCCTGTGGAATAGTGAAACCGAAAGGCAAACGAGACTGAAAGTAAATGAAGTCAGCATTGTCAAAGTTAACTTGACCACATCCAAGCCAATGAAGAGTTATCGAACGCCTCAGAGATAAAGATAAGAACTAACCGGTGCATGAGTGTACACCTTTTGGAGACCACCACCTCGGAGCGGTCCATTGCCTCGATGATAGTGCCGTATCGAGCGAGGTGTGGACGGCGTTGATAGTACCGACATACTGGCTGTATGCTCGCGACTTATCTTTCGAATGTACTCACAATTCGCTTTCGATGTGGTCACCTCTACACCGTTTATTGCGTTCAACATCTATCTTCATCAGTATTATTATTATCATTATCATTATCATCCTCGTAACGATTCAAATGTCGTTACAATAAGCTCCGAATGGTGATATCCGTAAAATACATTGAAATTGATGTTCGTTGAATGCGTGACCGGTCAATCTGCCTAAAGACATTTAGTCTAACGACAGTTAGCCTAAAGACACATTGCTTAACGGACAATTTGCCTAACGGACAGTTTGCCTAACGGACAGTTTGCCTAACGGAGAATTAGCCTAACGGACAGTTTGCCTAACGGACAATTAGCCTAACGGACAATTAGCCTAACGGACAGTTTGCCTAACTTACGGCTTTTTAATGGATATTTTGCCTAATAGGCAAACTGTTCCTTAGGCAAACTGTCCGTTCGGCAAATTGTCCATTGGGCAAATTGTCCGTTAAGCAAACTGTCCGTTAGGTAATGTGTCTTTAGGTAAACTTTCGTTAGACTAAATGTCTTTAGGTAGATTGACCGGGTTCCCGTTGAATGTACTCATGACAAACAAAATCAAAACTACCTTTGAATCATCGTTTGAATCAAAATGTTAGATCTATTCAAGCATGATTCTCTCAATCGCATTGTTGAAAAGCTACGATCTTAGAACAAATTCGATCATAATTAAAAGGGCTGAAGAGATCAATCGTTTTGTAATCAAAATTATGAATTAGCAATTATGAATTAACGGCTGAAGAGATAAACTGTGAAATCACTGCGACGAAATGGTAACATCATTTCACTCTCAATCATTTTAATTTTTGCTGAATTAACGTTTCCGATGGAACTTCCGATGAAATTTTTATCTTTTGAAATTTTCGAGCAACACCTTTCGATATATTCTCTCGAATGTGCGGGTGTGAGGTATCTGTGTGAATGTGCTTAAGTCGATTGAATGTGGAAGTATTTAATGGATTTTAACAGATGTCCTCTCAGAGACAGATTAGCTATAAACAGATATTCTCACATCCTAGACATATTATACATAGCTACCTGCATTAGATATTCTCTACACAAGTCAGATATCTTTCCAGCTTAACTGTTTCTTTTTCTTTTTAAAAGTTTTTCATGACATATCATTCAGTATATAGCGACTGTTGCGCCAAACAAAACATGAAATTCGTCTGTCGGAACAAGCGTTTTTAGACTCGATTATTTGAACAAGCCATTTTAGGACTGATTGTGAGTATCTGAACAAGCGTGAACACTTTGTGAGTATCGTGAACACTTTCATGCTAATCATATCATGATTCAATTCTTGGACTGGCTAAGGCCATAATGTTTTGAAATTCAATGAAATGTAATAGCTGGCTGTTGACAGTGTGGCTTGTAATATGTCAAATTTACAAATTTGGAAATTACATCAAGTCTCTTAAGTATACGTATGGATATCTCGTACTTGTCCTATTTTGATCCTGTTCGATCCCCTCGAAAAACTTCGATAGTCAATATTCATTGAACGGAAGTGAATAAAATTTAGACTTTTAAAACCGAAGAGAAACAAACGGAATATGCGTATATATGGTATGATGCTTGTTGGCATACGACTC